AAAGGAAAACATCACGACCTTATTCTTTTCAACAGTTGTCATTGTTCTAACATATAAATGTACCACAATTTAATTAACCAATCTTTCCTTTAGATGGAAAATTTATTATTTTCAAATTGTTTTTAGCAGTGTTATTATTGAGCTTATAAAATTATAGGTGAAAATGGTGAGTCAAAAGGCATGTACAATTAACATTTTGTAATATTGTCAGATTGCCTTCCAAAATGGTGTGAAAAGTTTTTGTCTCCATCCTCAGTTTATGAGAATATGACATGCCTGTTTCCCATGTCCTCATCTACCCCAGTGTTATACCTTTCATGTTAGCCCATATGGTAGGGTTTTTTTAATGCTTTTATTTGAAGTTTTTCAAGTTGAATAAGGAAATTATTTAAAATTTAAATTCTTCTTTTATGAATTTACTGTTCCTGGCCTTTGCCACTTTTCAGTTGGGATGAAGAGCCTTTATGAAGAGTCTCTCTATATACAAAAATGTCTGGGCCAGGTACTAGTGACACACCTGTAATCCCAGCTACTGAGGAGGCAGAGGTTGGGAAGATTAAGGTCTCAGGCCAACCCAAACAAAAAGTTCACAAGATCCCATTTCAACCATGACTGGGTGTGGTGGCATGTGCCTAAAATCACAGCTACAGGGGAATAGGAGGATCCCAATCCAGGCCTCCTGGATCTAAACATGAGATTCCATCCCCCAAATAAGTAAAAATCAAAAAGGGCTGGGGGCATGGCTCAAGTGGTAGAGCACCTACTTAACAAGGCCCTAAGTTCAACCCCTAGTACCACCAAAAAAAAATCTGGAGCCTCCCCCAACATAGTATTAATGCATCAAATATATGTCAAAAAGATACATAATGCAAATGCACTAATGGAGGGACTTCTACTTCTGATCAAAATGGAATAATAGGGGCCAGGCTTATGCTTTTATTTAAAATAACCAAAATAGACCCAATGTCACTCAAAACATTGGCCATTAGGTAAAAAAGAAACCATTAGGTTTCTTTCATTGGCCATTAGATAAATTAGAAACAGATGATGTGAACACAATGTTTTTCCCATACTTACCACCTGGGGAAAGTTTCTAGGCCGTGCTGGGAGGACAGGACCCAGGCAGAGTTGTGCCATCAACGTGAATGGAAGACATGGGGATGGAAGTGTGGGGTAGCCAAGATACAAGATATCAGAGAAAACAGAATTATACAGACAGAGAACTACAGAGGACTGCAGAACCTTCCTCTTAAGTATTCAGTTGAGTATTAATGAGCTTATGTATATAAGGAGTTATTAGAATAAAAGCTGAACTGCAACCATATTTTAAAATGTAGCGGCTTAAGTAATATTCACCTTTCTTTCCATGTTAGTCATCCTTCTACCACTGTGATGAAATACCTGAGATAAAAACTTACAAGGAACAGATTCATTTTTATGTATGGTTTCAATCCATGGTCAGTTGGCTCTGTTGTTTGGGACCTGGAGTAACGCAGAACACCATGGTGAGGAGTGTGTAGAAGAGCAAAGTTGCTCACCTTATGGCAGCCAGGAAGCAAACAGAGAGAGAGAGAGAGAGAGAGAGGAGAGGCCAGTACCACAATTTACTCTTCAAGGACATACCTCCAATGACCCAACTTCGTTCCACTGAACCCTACTTCCTAAAAGTTCCAATACCCCAAGAACACTACAGATTGGCAGCTCAGCCATTAACAGATAACCTTTGAGGGATATTTGAGCTCTAATGTGTAAAAACTTCCTTCTCATAAAATAATCCAGGCAGGAAGACCAGGCAGTTCAGGGGACCAGGAATCCAGATTTCTTGTCATCCATAATGTATTTCCCTCACCCAGTGGAAAAGGGAGAAAGCAGAATTCAGGTGTGTTTCTTTCTAGGGCATAACCCATAAGTTATATGCACATCTTCTGGTCACATCCAATTGGCTAAAATAGGTCATATGGCCACACCATCTGAGGGAAGCTAAAAAATTACTAAACTTGGGAAACACTGTACTCAGCTGAAACTTATACTATTATAGATACAGGGAAGAATAAATATTGAGGAAATTATCAACAGTTTGTAACTGAGTTAAAACTAGATGAGGAAAAACATATTAAATTAGCAAGAGTTTGCCAAAACGGACTGTTGTCTTAATTTAGTCTTTGACCTCATGATTAAACCAAATGTTTGGTCCGCTTCACGTGTGCTACATTTATCTGTTTTGAAGATCTTAATGATTCTTCTAAACTGTCCCTGTGTACATGGAAAGATATAGAGAGTTTCATCCTAATCTTTAAGTTAAGTCCTATTCTTTATTAAACAGTATGACCCTTTGATGGTTATTAGCCTTTGTCTACCAAGACAGCTATGAATTCAGGTTTGCCCAAACCTGGCACAGTTCCTAGTCAGAAGCAGAATTACACTCCATGGTACATGATAGACAAAATTCTCCACCTGCAGTGAATAAGATGTCCCACTTTTGATGTATCACCAGTGTTTCCCTTGCAGAAATTCCAGTGGGTGATACTGGGGGTGGAGGGTGGAGAGCTGCATTATTTGTGTAGCAATCTAAGCTGGTGTGGCAGCTCTCAGTGGAAATAAGCCTCCTTTCTGCATGGTAGCCTTAATTTTGAAGGGAAAGGAAGTTAATTTTAATTAATCAAAGTTAATGTTACTAATTAAACATTTGTTCTATTTTCATATGCACACACAAATTTGCTTAAATATATCACTAGCTCTTCAGAGGGTATAAAAAAGATTTGTTTTGCTATGTGAAGAGCAAAAATGGTCACAGAATTTAAACCAAAATTGGCTTCGAGGCTTAAACCATTTTCCCGAGTATATCCATTCTTAAAGTATTGCATAATCCAAAAATAAATGACTGATTTTTTCCAATAAAATTTAAATTTCTAATACCAATACAAATCAGACAATAATTTTAACTTTTCAAAGTTAAACTTTTCCAACATTTCTTCTTATAGATGATATAAATTTTAATCTTCCAAAAACTCTCAAGGGAAGGTGATATTTTTTCTTATTAATGACTAGAGTTTTGGAGAGATTTATATGTATGGCTCTTATTAAAATACGTTGATAACAATAATGACTTAAGCATGATCTTAATATTCTCTTCTATGAACCAGGCACAATGAGTACACATGATGCTATCAAAGATTAATCAGGAAATAAAAGGATTTCAAAGTTATAGGGGAGTATAAATACTACACATGTAAATGAATGGTAGAGCAGTCATTTGCCCATGTGCCATTTGCCAAGAGAAAGGACATACCATCTAATTTGTTCATGTTGGTTGAAAGTATAAGGAACATTTAAAATTTTAAAATGTGTATCAATAACCCCTAAAACAGATTGTAACAGATTGTACTATATATTATATTAAGTGTATGTCCATATTACATTTATATAAATACATACATACACATGAATAAAAGATTACTGAATCAGTAATCAGAGATGGCCTATGGATAAAGTTTCACTTGAAACTTTAATAAATGCATATTCCTATGTTTTAGAAATATGACACTGTTTCAATCACCTTGACCTTTAGAAGGATAAAGGAAGCCTAAGTAGTTATATATAAATCAGCTTTCTCACTCACCTCCCCCCAGTGCTTATATTCCAATTATCTGCATTTTGAAGGCATACTTTGAATACACAAATGACCTGCCATTCTACTGATTCTCTAGTAACAAATGTAAATATGTGCCTCACATCCAACCTTTGAAAATGGGTTTGAAAAAATATGTTTTTTCTAACTAGCAAACCACGACTGGTAGGAAGGAGAATGTTATAGTCAGGAAAATCTTTCTGGAGATCTATTACTTTCTCAAAGCTTCAGTTAACAAACAGATACAATCACCCATTTATTGAGTATCTAGATGTTAGAAATAGCATTTCATTCTGTTTAAAAAAAATAATGATCTCTTTCTTTTTAACCTCATTCTGTCTTGAGGTTAAGTGTCTTGGTTCAGACAACCTTAGATTCAAATCAGTGCTCAGTTTTCTCCCTCTAAACATGTTAGGCATGTTTCATGGCACTCTGGGTAGTGATTTCATCTGTAAAATAAGGATAATAACTTGACCCACAATACTGGGTTGCTGTAAGGATTAAATGTAAACCAGACAACATATGCCAGACCCCAGGAGTACTCCATTCATGTTAGCTGTGGATTTCAGATTTGTTTGCATCATTATTCAATATCCGTTTTTCATTCCACCCTGCTAAATTGTTTCAGCCACTGTACATTCAATGAACTTACTCAGAAACCTATTACCAGGGATAGACATTGGGATTTATTTCAACACAATTAATATTAGAAAGCACTTATTCCAATGTTTTTTCTTCCTGTGATTTGCAAGGAACTCCAGAAACAAGGGGTTTGGTTCTTTTCTGATGACAAAGAGACGAAGAAACTGCTGTGGCAATAACAAGTATAAAAGATACAAGACATATAGGTATGAAAAATGCAAACACATACACAGGTGTTTTTAAACCACAGCCTTTTTCCTTTAAGCTCAAACTTGGTTTCCAAGGACAGGCCTCCAACTTTTCTTGGCATTAAAGGCGTAAAATCTCCTGTCCCCTAAAGTTACCAGAATCTAAGGTGGAAGGAAGTAGCACACACCACACACTGGACAGAGGGAATCCTGGGCGTTCGCTTTGGCTCCCACCTGTAGCCAGGTCATTGTGACGCAAATGCTATGGACACGTGGAACACCTGCAGGAGAGCAGGGGCGGGGCCATTCTGGGCGGCCGGTCCCAGCGGGGGGCTACCCCAGGAGATGGGGATCAAGGAAAGACCCCAGGGAGTAGAGAAAGGGAGACTCACTCCCTTCATCCCCGATCCGCCCCAAACAAGGTGAGATCATCGCCCCTTCCCTATCCTCAGTCCCAGGGTCCCTGCTGAAAGGGGTCGCCCGCCGCGGTCCCCAGCAGGGAGGCGTGGGGATAGGAGGAGGCTCTGGAGGCTATAGCACCCAGGCCGTGGGCGCTGGCGAAGAAGGGAAAGCTCCCGCTCCCCCCGGCCGCTGCGCTGCGCTGCGGCGCGCACGGGATCCACCGGCTGCTATTCCGGCTGGCGGCGGCCGCTGCAGGAAGGGCCGGTTCCTGCGCTCCCCCCGCCCCTTCCCTCGCCTTCTGCCGACGCTGACGTCGCATGAGGGATCTGAAGGGACGCTCAGATCGCGGCCGGGAGGTTCCAGGGGGCCGGGGCTCCGAGGTACCTGCCCTCCGGGGCCGGGGCGGGGGCGCGTCGGGCGGGCTGCATGCTGCAGCGGGAAACGCCCGGCAACCGGGTGGTCGGGGGTGCCAGCCAAGGCTGCCTCCTCTGCCCTCTGTGGGCGGCGGGTGACAGGCGGGCCGCCGCCTCCTGCCCCCGATCCCTGTGCTGGAACCGCATGAGCCCCTTCCCCTCCCCCGTCTCCTCCCTCTGGCCTGGGAAGGTCTGGAGGATGCGCGCACCATGGGAGCGTACGTCAGCCCCTGGAGAGCCCAAGGGAAGCGGTCCGCTTCTCGGCCCCATCTCGCGCTGGCGCCAGCTCTAGCAGCACCTGCATCCACACCCTTGCCAGCCCACCTCACCCACCCGCTCCCTGTCTCGCCTTCCCACCTCACCCACCCGCTCCCTGTCTCGCCTTCCAAGCGGCTTCGGCTCTAGGACCCCGAGGTCCCTTCTGGGCTGACTTGTTGACAAGTTCACCTGCCGCGGTGCCTGATGTTTGCTTTTTATCTTCGCCCCATTGCCGGTCTTTGGCAGGGGTGCCCGAGAGCAGATGGGTACTTTTTTATGATCACTTGGTGCTATAAGGCCTGAATGTGGTCTCCCGCGGGCGAGGTGTTCACCGGTCTCGGATCACACAGGGGCGAGTGTCCCTGAGCAGGCCAGGTTCCTGCAAACCAAGGCGCGCTGGTTTCCTTTGGGTGCTGCTGACTCCGCCTTTCCTGCCCCGCGATTGCAGCTCCTGTTTCCTCTAGAAAAGAGCATATCCTGTTATGATGCCTGCTTTCCACCAGCGTCTCTCACTTAACCTTTCCCACTGTCTTTTTACCTGGAGCGCCCCAAAGCCTCTCAACTTCTCTTTGGGGTCTTTAAAGTATCGCGCCCAGATGTTGGCTGAAGTCTTTGGCAGCCTGATGGGGAGAATGAAGGTTTAGAAAGAGAATCAAGTTCTCTGCTTTTAGATAGCATTAAAACTATCTGCACAAGAAAGGGTTTTGTCCCTGAACCTGGGGTGACAGCCTTAGTTACTGAGATCTGGTAACTATAAAAATAATTAAGGCCTGGAAGATACATCACCAGTTGGTTTGAAAATGATACTCAGTGCAGGAAGAAAGTCACATAAGGCATTCATTGGCCATTAGGGTCCATAAATTATGACTCATTGCAAACATGTCCGTGTCTCCGTATTTCAGCGAAGTCTGTCCAGGAAAACTTCAAATTGGTTTTCGTGGCCTTCTGGTTTGGATCTGAGATCAGAACTGTTTCAGGGGTTGAGGGGAGGGGGTTGTGATGTAGGAAATGGTAGGAAATGATTATTAGTTGAAATCCTTGCCCCAGACTCAGTTTCTTAGTGTTTACAAACCCCACCCCCATTTTAAAATTAGATTTTTGTGAATTTTCAAACCAAAGATTTTCTTGTTAGGTTTCCATGTTTATTTACTTATTTATTTCTTGTGGTACTGGGGTTTAGACACAGGCCATCGTTGCTTGCTAAGCAGGCGCTCTACCTTTTAAGCCATATACCCAACCCTCAGTCTTTATTTTTGAAACATCTTTTGTACAGAATACCATTGGGGACTAAATCAGTTTGTAATCTTTAGTAGCTTAAATATCACTATTTGGTTTTAGAAAAATACATTATTTTAATTGCAGATATTACTTTCTAATTTACCTTTTTGTATTGCAGAGGTAAATAATTGTCTTTAGAAACAGTCCCAATTAAATCAAGGGCAAACACAACAAGGGGATTGGACTATGAGCACATGATAAAAGCGAGAGCACACAAGGGAGGGGTGAGGATAGGTAAGACACCTAAAAAACTAGCTAGCATTTGTTGCCCTTAATGCAGAGAAACTAAAGCAGATACCTTAAAGCAACTGAGGCCAATAGGAAAAGGGGAACAGGTACTAGAGAAATGGTTAGATCAAAAAGAATTAACCTAGAAGGTAACACCCACGCACAGGAAATCAATGTGAGTCAATGCCCTGTATAGCTATCCTTATCTCAACCAGCAAAACCCCTTGTTCCTTCCTATTATTGCTTATACTCTCTCTACAACAAAATTAAGAAATAAGGGCAAAATAGTTCTGCTGGGTATTGAGGGGTTGGGGGAGGGAGAGGGAAGTGGTGGTAAGGGAGGGGGTGGGGGCAGGGGGCAGAAATGACCCAAGCCTTGTATGCACATATGAATAATAAAAGAAAAATGAAAAAAAAAAAAAAAGAAGACACTAGGAGAAAAAAAAAAAGAAAAAAGAAACAGTTCCAGCCACTAAGAAGGCTGAGGCAGAAGGATCTCAAGTTTTAGGGTAACAGTGGAAAGGAAGGGTTGAGGGCTCAAGTGGTAGGGCTGCTTGCCTAGTTATGAAATTGCAGATGAACCGTAGCACTCTACTTATAATCGTGGAGAGACCTAAGGTTAAAAATCTGACCCTGAGTCCTTCAACCACTGAAGGATATCACAGTGAAGGATATCCTTCACTGACCACTGAAGGATAAACTCACTGGCTGGTAATTACCTGGAGGTTTATTTTGTAACTATACCCTGCACTGTTTGATACACTTGAGTATTTGTCTGACTGCTTCTTCTGAGAGTCTTTATTGCTGGGTTTATCATTCAACATCAACCTTAGAAAAGTACAGAACTTTTGTTACTTACTAGAAAGCCTTTAATATTGCTGCATTTTCAAGTTTTTTTTTTTTTTAAATAGAAGCAGTTTTATCAGAGGTAGGCAGGTGTGTGACAACTGTGACATGGGATAGTAAAGTAAACTTGTGTTTAGCATGAATTCTGGGTTTCAGAAGCCTCATACAGGAGAGGGTGGGGAAGTGGATAGGCCACCAGGATCAAGATAACTGTTCCCTCTTTATTGGTTGAACTGACAGAAGCCTAAGGGTAGGTGGCTTTTGATCAGCTCACTGGTCACTAGTGTACTTTAACTCCATCTGTATTATTCACATTTAGGAGATATGTGGTCAAGGATGCTGTCTGCATGTTTTATTAGATTATTAGCTAAAGCCCCTTATTGCCACCCCCATACCACCCAGAATCTGTCTGAGTAGAACCTTAAACTCAACAACTGATAGAGGAGAAACATTTTTCCTCATATTTTTCTTGATTCCCAAGCAGTTATGTTTCATACTGCAATCATATCTAGCATTTTGGAGGAGTAGAGAGAACACACGGCTTTAGATCCTGATTGAAGCAGAATTGGAATCTGTTGTGGTTTGCATATGAAATGTCCTCTTAAGGGTCATATGTTAACAGCTTGGTCTCCAATGCAGTGTAAGATTTGGGGGAACTAATTGGGCTCTAACATAATCAATTAATTAATCCACTGATTGAGTCATAATTTGATGGCATTATTGGGTGGATGGAAACTAGGAGGTAGGACCTGGAAGGAGAAAACAAGCCTGGAAGGAGAAAACAAGCCTTTGAAGGGTATATCTTGGACCTTGCTGTATCTCTGGTCTTCATTAGGTGAGTAGCTGACTTCTACCATGCTCTTCCACTATGATGTTCTGTCTCACCAGACCCAGAAACAATGGAGCCAGCTAATGATTGAAACCTGTAAACCATAAGCCAGAATAAATCTTTCCTCCTTTAAGTTGATATAGTCACAGCGATGAAAAGTGACTTACACAGAACCCTGGCTGCAACACCTGACTAACCATGTGACCTTCAGCAGGTTTCTTTAGCTCTCTAATCAGTATTCCTTATCTATGGGCCAGGAATAGCCACCCTGTGTGATTAGTGTGAGAATGTGTGTGTGTGTGTGTGTGTGTGTGTGTGTGTGTGTTTTGCATAGTGAATAGGACTCAAGTAGTAGCAATGAATTATTCTTTCACATGTGAAACATGTGCTATTTGTATCTGAATGGGATGCTACTGCTTTGCCTGTGATAGGGCATGTGTTCCAATTTGGTTTTGAGTAGTGAAAGTGATTTTTGCACCAGAAATAAGAATCTGGACTTTATAAAAAATATTTCCCAAAGTTGAGATAAACAATCTGTTGTCCAGGAAGAAAGCAAAGCTTATTTGTCCCAGTAGGGGGTAGATCTTCCAAGCCCCTGCCACTCAGATGTGGTCCATGGACCAGCAACAAACTTCCTTGTGAGCTTGTTATAAATCCCAAATCTTAGCTTGTTATCTCTCCCTTCCAGACCTACTGAATTCAAATCTGCACTTAACACACTGTCCATGTGTTATTTATAGTTTGAGAAGTATTGCTGTTCACTGGTATTTCTCAAAATTTAGTGGTCCACAAAATCATATGGGGGCTTGTTAAATGTAGATTGACAGTTTGGCTTCTACCATCTGCTTTTAACACCTCAGATCATTCTCATGCCCAGGGTTTTCTTCTGTTGTTTGAAAATACAGCACCAAAACAAGCATTAGTCCTCATCCTTAACAAAGCACTTTGGCAAACCTGATCTTATTTGCTACTCACCCTTTCTGAGATAAGTAAGTATTGCAATCCCCATCTAGCAGATAAGAAAATTAAGAATATAGACATGATGTGCCCTGGAAAATTCATGTGGTAGAACTGCTTTGGAACCTCTGTAAATCCTAGTTGGTCATACTTTTCACTACTCCAAGATCCAAATTAATATGGGTTTGTGCTTCTGTTTGTTTAGTTTGGAGCTACAAGTAATTTTCACAAATACCAGTGAATCTCTCTAGAGCAAGGATGATTATATATGAAGAGCGTTTTATGCATACTTTGAAAAGAAAGTTTTCCCTCTGTGTGACAGTAGGCCAGTTATTTATGACAACTGATTTTAAGCTTCATCATAAAATGGGAATGATGTCAATTTGGCAATATTGTGAACAGTGCTGTGGGTACGTCAGACACTTCAGTGTCTGAGAAGTGGTAGTTTTTCAATTAATGGTAACTCTCTGTCCCAAAGCAAACCTAGAGAGACAGAGTATGAGTTGATAAAAAGCTGGGAAAAGGATGCATTGCTCATGATGAGAATTGTCACTCTCTCCTGCTAAGTCAC